AGGCCAAAGAACATGATGGTAGGCTCAAACAGCCCCCAGTTGGTCGAGAACACCACTTTCCATTCATCGCCATCCTTGATGCGGACGTTATTGAACCCCCAGCGGAGGTCTAGCGCCGAGAAGTACTTGGCATTTTGGAGGCGCACAAGGACATCCGAGATGAGGGGGAGGGGATATGAGTTCTTCACCGTGATCTCATTGAGCTTGCGATAGTCCTGGACCAGGCATAACGACCCATCCTTCTTCTTGATGAAGAAGACTGGTGCCCCTATCGGGGACTTGGATGGCCATATGCGTCCATTCCGCAGGTTCTCGTGGAGGAACTCGTCTAGTTCCTTCTGTTCTGGCCTTGACAGGGGGAAGGTCCTCCCCCTTGGGAGTTTGGCCTCTGGTGCCAGGTCTATCGTGTGGTCCCAGGGCTTCCGTGGAGGTAGCTGGTCGAAAGCCTCTTTCAAGAATACATCTCAGAAGTCCTGGTACTGCTCTGGCACCAGTGCCTCTGTCAGAGACCAGGTTGAGACGAGGGAGTGTCTCCGTGACGGAGGGCTTCAGCCTCAGCGACTTGTGCCAGGAGTGCTGTGCCAAGTAACATGTCCATGCCCTAACTTACTAAACTGGCAACCAGAACTGAAAGGGGTAAACTCTAGTCGATTTTATTACTGAGGTGTAACCTATGTACAAGTGGAGTATAAATATTACCGACGAGTCGGGTTACGGGGTTAGCGGAATGGTAGGCGATAACCCAGAAATGGAAAGGAGGGATAGGCCTGAAGGCAGGCTTGCAGGGCAAGCAAGTGTATTGCCCAGCGGAGGCGGGAGTGTGCTAGCGGACGTCGGAGCTGTCCAGAAGCCTTCGGGGCTCCGTACTTAGGGAGGTGTAGGTAATAAATTGAAAAGAGGGGGTGGTGACCATCAAGAGGCACCGAGGTGATTACGGAATATGGGAGCTCCAAGGTTAGTGAAGAAGGAGCGGAGGTAGACCAGAGGGATCAGAGGGAGTGGAAGTCGATGGCCAGGGATGGATATGACAGCCTCAAACTGTGCAGGTTCTGCCTCTGGCTTGCAGGCCTCCTGGGCCATCTGCTGCGATGGCGTCATAGTCGCTCTTAGCTCATGTCCCCATCCTGGGGGAATGATAGCGGCGTAGATCCCATCCCCGGGCTCTATCGCAGGGTCTGAGTCAGCTTGCGCTCATATTGACTGACAGGATGTTGGGCAGTGGGACATGGTGACTTTCTGTCGTGTCCAGTCCACTTCCGGGTTGTGGTGTAGTAGCCATGAGTGTCCTATAATGAGGGACTGCCTCCCAAGGTTCGCGATGGCGAAGCAGGCCCGCTCCATGTGTCGCCCAAATGTCAGGAGGGCCTCCAGCTCCTTGGTTATGGCTCCATTCTCATTTGGGGTTCCATTGACATTGTGGACGGGGATGGGCTGGGGAAGTGGGGTCGTCTCGAGCCCATGTTTTCTGACAAACTCAGGGCTCATGAAGTTCCCTGTAGCTCCGGAATCTAGGAGTGCTGACACGGAGATGCTGGCGAGGGACATTAAGGCAGTCAGCTTCACAGCGAGGTTGAGGGATCTGGGAGGCTGTTTGGACAACATGTAGATGGCAGGTGGCGGGACCGCTACCTCCGGTGCCATTTCTGGGGCTTCTCTGCCCTTGCTGGTTGAGGACACGTTTTTCCTCTTCTTCTTGGCGATGACTCAGTGGAATTTAAATATCGGTGCTGGGTTAGGTGCCTCATGGTATCTACACAAGCTTGTACTATCGCCTGCAGGCGGCCGGGGCGCATCCCTCACCGGTCACCGTCCTGAAAATCCTCTTGGGCCTCCACTTCCTGCCCTTCTCCCTCTGTCCCTGGTTCGTCTACCAGTTGTCTCCTCAGCCCCTCCATGAGTGCTCTGAGGTCTTTGGGGTGCATCCATCTGGCTCAGCGGGTTTTCGGTTGTGGGCAATCCCAGCGATGTGCCCTGGTGTGTTGCAATTGTAACACAGCCCATTTTGCCTCTGGTCGATCCTTGAGCCGCCGAGGTCCATGGGTTGTGGCCCTGCTCCTGCCACAGGGCAGGGCGCAAGGGGCTGGGGTGCGGCAGTGGCAGGTAGGGGGCATGGCTGCGGGAGAGTGGTAGGGAGTGGGGGTCTCAGGGGCAAGTGGGGGCCTGGCAGGGGCTAAGCGGGGTTGCGTCGCCTGGAAACGCCGCCACTGGTTGTCGAGGAGGGTGGCCTCGCGTTTCCACTCAGCCCAGGTTGTTGGCATGGGGTGGAGGCGGTAAATGCTCTTGCGGAGCCGGGAGTTGATCGCCTGTTCAAAGCGATCCACTAGCCCCATGTCCCCTAGCCGTGAGGCGGGTCCGAGGATCTCAAACTCCTGGATGATCTTATCCACGGAGTCGCTGCCCTGCCACAGAGTGGCCAGCTTCTGTCTGGCTGTGGCCTTGCGGTTCGGGTCCTGGAACATGGTGTCAAGTTCCATGTTGAACTCATCCATGGCGAGCCGGGGTGAGCCCATCGTCAGTAGTGCGATGGTGCGCTGTGTCACCCACACCCCTGCAGTCCCTCCCTTCATATAGGACAGGACACAGAGGATCTGGGAGAGGGTGTTGGGGAATTCCGCTGCTCGGACATGGAAATATATGCCGCATTTGGCCTTGAAGCGGTCAAGGTCTTTGGCTGCTCCAGAGAAGGCAGTGGGGGTGGGTGACTTTGGGTGGTTTGGGTCTGGGGGTGGGTGCAGGTGTTGGTGTGGGGACCGGTGCTGGTGCAGGCACAGTTGAGCTTGGCTCTCTACGATGGCCTGGAGCTCTTGGAAGCGGGACAGCAGTTCATTGTACTGCTCTTCGGTCACCATAGTGGGGGAGGCAGGGGAGATGAGGTTGAAGCCTTCTTCTGCTGTCAGGGACAGCTCCGAAAGCGGCAAGGTCCTGGCGTGCAGGATAGTGGCTGTGCATAGCGGTGATCCCGTTGTGGGGTGAGCGTCCCCAACCACTTAGTCTGAAGTGGGAATGTGAGAAGAAGGCTACTTCTTTGGTTCCCACTCCAGCTGTTATTATATACATGCGGGATTGGTCATGTGGGGTGCACCATGTCACCCTTGCACACAGCCATGGTTCTCCGGGTGCCTCCATGGGAGATCCCAAGAGGGCCCACTGTGGGTGCAGGGCAAGTGCGGTGGCAGTAGCAGCGATGTAGGGATGGTGGGGTGCAGGAGGGGAAATGGGCATGCACGCTGGTGGTACATTGAACAGTGGGAAAGGTGGTCCATGTAAGAGAGAGAGAAGGAAAGAAAGAAAGAAAGAAAGAAAGAAAGGAGAAAGGAAGAGGGAGAGGAGGGGGAAGTGGTGCGGAGCAGGGAGGCGGAGCGGGGGTCAGGCAGGGCGTGCCAGGGCATGCCCTGACACATCATCACTCTGTTCCCTCTCACTTCTTATTGTTTCATTGCCACCATGTTTACTCAACCAACCTGCCATATGTGAATCAGACATGTAAGGGAGGTGGTGTTAGAATGGATGTGGGATGCTGCGCTTCCGTGCTGCATGTTGCCAGAGCGGCATTATGTTACAATATTACAATATCATTCGACTTCAACATGAAGAGTATAGCATGTGTTTTGTGGCTGTGTTGATTGATTGATCAACACTTGATTGACACTACCTTGACTGTGAGATGAGTACATGGTGCTGTCAGGGGACAGACCCCGGGTCCCCATGACCCCTCTCTCTATAGCCCACAGCCCTGTGTGTAAACAGCCTATCCTAAGGCATACCCTGCTGTGGGTAAGAAAGTGAGAAGAAGGTTAACTTCTCACTTTCCCACAGTGGCCCAATATGGCGAAAACTTCCGGGGATACCCGGAAGTCACATGAAGGTAGGATCTGGGGACCGGAGCATGCGGCGCACGGATCATGCGGCGCAGGAAGCGCACATGGGAAGTGGAGCGGGTCCGGGCTAAGTCAGGGTATGTGCCCTGACAGGTGCTGTGATTTCTGCCAAAAAGCCATTTATCTTGGAGGTGGTGGGATGATGAACCACATCCGGAAATCACCAGGCTGCTTTGTGAAGTTCCAAGAGTTCACTGCTGCAGATGTGCAAGCAACTCTTGATAAAAGTGATAATCCATCAACTTCTCAAGAGGAAGGGGATTTGCTTATACAGGCTGGATCCTCCTCATCTATGGAAGTTGATCCAGAGCTTTATTCCCCATTTGGTCCTCCAGCTACCGATCTAGCACAGGCTGTGGGATGACCCACCTCCGGACTCTGACAATGAATCGAATATGGAATCAGTTGCCTCCGACATGCTTCCTGAGGATGAGGAAAGTGACTGGGAGGACGTGATTGGATCTGAGGATCTTTTCACATTCCCTTTGGGTGTGATTGATACAGAGGAAAGAGGCTTCAGTTATGAGCACTTTTCAGATGCAAGGACTCCATGTAATGCCGAGCCACTGAGGACAAAATGGGAGGAGAGATATGAAGCGGAAAGACCAAACCCCCATCTTCCATGGGCAAATCTCAGTGAATGGAGACTGGTTGAGTGGTTAGTGGGCCAGCAGCTCTCACAGAGAGCCATTGATAACTTCATAAAAAATTGTTGGGTATGTGACTGAGTCCCTGTGCACCAGTATTGTGGTGCTGATGCACCTAATTCAGACCCAAGAACACCCAAAACAACTGAGCTTTGGGTCTGCAAAGGAAATGTACAACAAATTTTCATCAATGGATGGGGCCCCAGCTTGGCATGCAAAAGAGGTCATCCTCTCTGATGCCCCCACTGAGCCCCAGATCCTGTTTTATCAGGATGTGCTTGAGTGCTCTGATCACATACAAAATAATCCTAGCTTTTCAAATGCATGGGATTATGAGCTGCAGCACATCACATATTCTGACACAGACATCCATGTCTTCCATGAGCCTTGTACAGGAAATTTATGGTGGAGGTATTAGGTGTGTGTTTAATTATTGGCATTTTGCATCAACTTATACTGGGAGTAGGAAGAATCCCCTGATGGGACAATGATCCAGGGTGTCATTCTTGCAAGTGATGAGACTCACCTTACAAACTTCTCTGGATCAAAAGTTTTTCATGCTGTCTATATGACACTTGGAAATATCCATGGTGACATCCGATGGCAACCTGATAGTGGTGCCTGGCTGCTTCTTGCAATCCTGCCAACATCCTCCTTTACCCAGACTGTCCTCACATACACATCTCCTCAATCACATGACAAATTGACCAAGAATGAGGCAGCCACCCTTCCAGGGATTCTTAAGCATCAACTCTTCCATGCATGCATGAAAATAATCACTGCACCACTTCACCCCTCTCAGCATCCCCACCCAGTTCTAGGCCCAGACAGAAATGTCCGTATGTGCAGGAGCAATGCCTGATTGCTTGTGTTGCAGCAAGGTCATGCCCTGTCTGCTGTGCACAACCACGTGCTGATGGAACGACAATTCGAGACCATTTGACTGCCAAAAAACGTACTGGAGCATCCACCTTGTGTCAGGGACTTGTCTGGGGTTGAGGGGGCCTGGGTGTAGCATTGCAAGAGGGCTAGCGGCTCTCTATGCTGACTAAGCTTGTGGGGCCAAACTCTCCAAAACTCCTACTTCTTGACTAGACTTCGCTACGCTCTCGATCCTTAACTCCGTGGTGAGTTCTCTGGGATTTCCGCAAGGTCCGGGCTCAGAGTCCACTACTCACTTGTTGTGAGCTAGATCACTGCCCTTATTCCTACTGCTGGAATTCCACACACTCACACCCTCTCTAGCACGTCCTAGCACCTTAGAGAAATTTGGGGGAGGGGAGAACTTCCTTTCAAAAATCCGGTATGTACAGGATTATAAGAAATAATTATTTTTAGAATAATTGATGGTGAATATTGGTACCATATGGCACCTGGGTACCTTATTAGTCGAAATAATAAAAAGGGTAACAGTAACAATAAAAGAATATCAATCAATATCTGAAATGATGGCAAAATATGAAAATAAAAGAAAATAAACGATTTCTCAACGGATCTATGGAATTAAGGACCGAAATTAAAAATGTGGCTGAATGGAACTATTACGCAGCCAATGGGCATTTTTACCAATTTATTAGTCGCCGTGGGAACGAGTGAGGCTGGAATTCTGGGTCGCTGCTTGAGATTCCCACGCCTGCACATGCCCGTGCCTAACTTGCCCAACACAGAACTCTGTCAAATCTCCACCGATTAGGACGTTCTTGATATCGTCGGAATCGTACGAATTAGCACTATTTTTAGATACCAATTCCGTACCGAGTTGTTGCATGAATAAAAGGGGTTTTCTAATCGTGAATGCAGGTATCCGAGCCGAGTCTGTGCATGGGCGATTATCCCGCCTACAGCGTCCGGGGCTGAGAGCCTGGCAGGGGGCAGATCAGGTGTGCATACTGACAGGCCCAATGCAGGACAGTGGTCCCTGGCCACTGAGACTGAAGTGGAAAGTTGAGAAGAAGGCTACTTCTTCGGTTCCCACTTCAGGTTCATTTATATACATGCGGTGCCATGTCACCCTTGCACACAGCCGTAACCACCTGGGTATCTCCGTGGGAGATCCCGAGGGCATCCGGTGCAGGCGTGTGTACTGGGCACAGTGGGAAGTTGCCCGAGGTGCCTGGTCCAGGTACATGGTGGGTGTGCGCTGCAGATGGGTCAATGGTACATTGATACAAAGAAAGTCGTCCATGTAGAATAAAGAGAGAAATAAAGAAGAAGTAAGATAGGCAGAAAGTGAGGAGGGAAGAATGAGGAGGGAGGAAGGGAAAGGGGGAGGAGGTAAGGAAGGGTGGACAGTGGGGTACTGGGTCAGGTTGGGCCAGGTGGAGCCGGGTCAGGCAGGTGTGCCCTGACACCTGCATGTGGGACTCGGTGGGATGAATGGCAGCTGTGTGTAGCGGTGATCCCGTCGTGGGGTGAGCGTCCCCAACCACTTAGTCTGAAGTGGGAAGTTGTATTATCATTAAAGGGGAAAAGCTATGGTACTTACCTGAAGTGGGAAGTTGAGAAGAAGGCTGCTTCTTCTGTTCCCACCCCAGGCACTATTATATACATGCAGCTAGGGTCACGTGGAGGAAGCCACGTCATCTCTGCACACAGCCGCACCTCCCTGGGTGTCTCCACAGGAGATCCTGGAGGTGGCCATTCAGTAGGCAGGAGTGTGTGTGGCGTGTGCAGCAACCAGGGGGGCAGGGTTAGGTATGTAGTGGTACATGGAGAAGGGGAAATCAACCATAGAATAGAAATAGAGAGAAAGGGGGAAAATAGAGAAGGAGAGACGGGGAGTGGTAGCAGAGTAGTGCAGTACGGTGCGGGGTCAGGCAGGTGTGCCCTGACACCTCCTCCATATCATCTCAATCCTCCAGCTCCTGATGATTGATGATTGCATCTTGCAAGAGCTTGAAAAGCATCTGGAAGCAATGTATTCCCATGCTGATGAGCTTATCAACCTTGGCATCCAAACTAATCTTTGGATACCAAAACTCATGGCTCTGGCACACTTCCAACAGGATATCATTCTAGGTGGGGTTCCAAGCAATTGGAGCTCTGAGACACCTGAAACCCTCCAAGTGCTACCCAAATCACTCTATGATCAAACAAACCACCGAAATTTTCAACTCCAAATGATATCAATGCTGACCATTTGTGAGAAGGAAAGGGTGCAACATGAGTATGTGAGGTGGTGCTCATTAATTGCTGAGCCACGACTAGTACCACACAATGATGCACCACAACTTTCTAGCATCAAGATTGCAGATAGGCCCCACCAGGGTAATATCTCTATTGAGGTGGTTGCTGGTTGGAGGCCAGAACTATCAGACCTCCCATCAGCAATTTGCCGATATCATCATGAACAGCAATCACAATACACAGCTCAACCTCGTTTTGTCTATACAATTGATTCAGAGTGGTTCCCACAACAATACAAGGGTTTGGATCTTTGGTGGTCCTATTGGATCACTGTTCCTGCTTTCAATCAGTTCTACAAGGCAGAAGCAAGGGTCATCAAGTGCAAACCAACTGGTGGTTACAGAAGTGGGGTATTTGATTCTGTCTTTGTCCTTGTCCATCCTCAGCACAATGGAATTCACAGTAAGGGCTGTTTGCAGATACCCTAACCCACCCAATACTGACATGACTTGGCAATGGCAGAATATTGTCCAGCTCAGATTCAACTCATCTTCTGAGCATCAAGTAAAACTGGTGCTAGGGAGGGAGCTGAGCATCATGGAAACAAGCTATTTGCATATGTGCTGTGGTACACTGACATACCAATCAGGCTTTCATCAGGAATGTTTCCTGTAAAAAAAGATCTTGATCACAACAATCAATGGAGAAGTGCCATAATTCCACTAAATTGTATCATGTTCCATTGCCCACTTCACCCATCAATAATTGGAGAGTCTGCCCTTGGTACTACAGCTGATGAAATTTTTGCATCATCAACCCAATTCTATATCAACCCATTTTCAAGCACCCAATTGTATCAGCATTTGCATTTGTAGGCCAATATACTAGTATAGGCTGAATGACAAATCAGAGCATGGTGCCAAAATAACTCAGCATATTCTACTGCATAGTGACATGAAAACTGTTCATTAGTAAAAGAGCCCAAGGCAAATGAGCTCTATGAGCCCACTGAGCTCATAGAGCTTTTGGAGTGATGATGGCTATTTTACATACATTTACAGAAACATATATGCATATTATCTTTTCATTACTGGGACCAAAATAACTCAGCAGGTTCCATGGAGATGGGAAGACCACAAGGTCTATGAGCCCACTGAGCCCACTGAGCTCATAGAGCTTTTAGAGCTTTTAGAGCTTTTCAAGTGATTACAATTGCTGTGATACATGCATTTTCAAAAACATATATATGTAGAGGGTGGACAGCACAAAGACTCAATTTGCTCTCAGAGCTCTCAGAGCTCCATACTGAGTTTGCTGATGTAGGAATGGAGCGGAGGGAGGCAGAAGATCCAGGATATGGCAACAACTCCCCAAGTCCTGACCCTAGCAAGGCAACCCCAGTGAGTCTGAAATGAGGGCCAAGAGACAGCTAGGGGGCACAGCACTCCTTTAGAGTTGCTGAGGCCAAATGCCCTACCCTTGGGCCTTGTTCACAGCATCACGGCCATCACAGCCTATAGCGGCCTGCAACGGTGACCTTCAGTGCTGTCATATCCATACAATCCCGACCTCCGCTCCGGGCTCCCGGAACTCCAAACTCCGACTTCTGGAGCCCTACTTCCCTTCTGTCACCTTCTCCTTGCCGACTCCCAAGAGGTTATCCCACCTCCGGCTCGGACACCACCTTCAGTCCGACTCCGGAACATTCCGGGTCCGACCCCAACCACGACACCTTCCAGATGAGTATGCAAAACCTATGCTCCCGACTCCGGACCTCCGCTCCGGAATCCTGTTCGTGTCTCTGTCTCCAGAACCTCCGGTCTTAGCTCCGACCTCGGACTTTGACCCCACCTCTGCTTATACCCATTGTATTGGTTAGCTCATTCCATTTAATTACCTTTGCCAATATTCCGGAGTTTGACTTCCGAGTTCGGACTTTCCGGACTTACGTCGGACCTTGCAACTATTGCATTGCTCCATTCAGTTCCGCTATTCTCCCTCATTCCTATTTGGGCTACTGCTTCCTTTCTATTCAGTCAGCTAGCCATTCCCCACTCCCAACCTCCTTCCTTCCTCCTTGGGCCTTGGCCCTTCATTCCTCCTTTGAGAAACACCATTGGGTCAAACCCTTGACCCTTGGTGTAGTTCCTCTTTCCATCTCCCTTTGTCTCCTTTTGTCCTACCCTCGCTCCTTTTGATTCCGGACCCCTCCTTATATACAATGTACATAGTAACTTGTAACCTCAGTCCGAAATCGACATGAATTCCCCCCAAGAGACTTTCCCTCTGCTAGATCTGAAATTAGGGACCCTAGGACAACCAGCAATGGCACAGCGCTCCGCATGAGTCGCTGAGGCCGAGGTCCTTCCACGCTAAGTCTCCGATTCCACTCCAGAGTCGTCCGAATCCACCCATTCTAACAGGGTCGGTCCCTGACACTCCTCACTGAGTCACTGAGGCCGCATCCTTCTTAGAGCCTCTTGTAACACCCAGCAGACTTGGGCTTCCTGGAGAAGGTTTGGTCCACTACCGGAGCTCTTGGAACCCCTCTAGTTGAGCCCTGTCTGCCCCAGGATTGTCGTGGTTTTGACAAAGGGCCACACTCACATGTACCTAACAGAAGCCACAGGATTGGACCAAAAACATGACCCTCAGTTTGGGACCAATCAGAAGGCTACAGTCAATCACAAGTGATTATTTATATGTTAGATTTCACAGGACTTCCCACAACCCTTC